TCAAGAAAGACAACTCGTGACAAACCACGACGCTCAGAAGTTCTTTCCCTGTTTTGACCATGATCAACCCACTGGATGCAATATTGAAACGACATATGCTTATCCGTGGTGGTTTACCCCACCACACACAATGGCCACTCTGAACGACGACTCGAATGCTTCCTCTCTCTATGTCTACCCCTATGGTGGAAATCCCTCGTGTAATGCATCATTCTCCTGATGTAGTTTGGGAATGTTCATTCGATATTATACCTTGGCGCCTCAAAGACACTCATACACTGTCCTGATCCTATTTCCGGCATCGGTGTTCCCTGTGTGTCCGCAACACTCCATTGTCCTTCATTACCTCTCTATCTTAGTCAATAATTGACGTTAGGTACCATTAACGGCTCACTTTCAAGGTGCGCCGTTGTTGTGCAAGCGACATCCTCAGGGCATCGCAGGAGGCAGTGTGTCGTGGAAGAAATACGCCGTAAGTTATCTCGGGTACACAAGAGAGTCCCCGCCGTCCGTGATATGGGAAACATCCCTGTCGAGGACCCACTGGCAACCAGTCGAGCCAGACATCGGTGAGGAGATAGGTCCAGGAAGTGGCCAGGTCTCATGGAAGCATTGAAGAACAATGAAAGTCCATAGAGGGTCAATGAGGTGTTGACGCGTGATGATTCGGTAATTCAAGAGATTTGTCAAGGAAGCAAATGGTTACTTTGAACCTACCGTCTACCCTAAAATTTGAAATAATCAAGTTTTGTTGCTTTGGGCGAAATGTTGTGACCATGGAATTATTGTCGACCTGAATGAATCAGTATCAAGGATATCGTCGCAATGAGATTGCTCCGAATGGGGTCTGAATCCTGAATGAATCCGAACAGAATCCCATCAATATGAAATACAGATTTAGGAAAACCAGATTCCAGTCCCGATTTGACCAAAATAGGGATCGGCATCTGTGTTCACATCTATGTACTGAACATAGATTTGAGGAAGATGGCCTGCAAGACAAGGTCCTATGTCCCTCAATTGGGGAACCGTAGTGTCCCCGATCGCAACCCTGTAATAAGACTATTTAACTGAGCCATTCCGGTGCGAATGACCTCAACATCTTCGCCACCCAACTCGACCTCAATACCACCTTTACCATCCACACCACCAGCTCTCGACATGTCTTTCAGTGATTGGAACGCAGGAGTCTCCGAAGTCTCCATGAAAGCAGACCCAGGATTTGTTTGCATCTCGACCACGGTCGATGACCTCTCCTACACCCCATCTGAAGAAGAAAAGTATCGCGACGCTGAACAGGTCTCCATTACCGGTCGAAGAAGCTGGAAAACCTTGAAAGGAAAGGGCGAAGCAGTTTGGCCCCCCATTGTGTAGGTCCAAGTTAATTTCCGACTCTGCATCATCTAACCCGTCATGTTTGTTTTGCAGGGAAGCCGCTTTACTGGAAGGTGTGTAATCAGCCCCTGTGTGCTGTTCGAGCTCGCCACTCACAACGAATTTTTATAGCTCTGGAGTCATACCAGCCCGACTCTGTTGGTTTTAAAACGACAAAGAATCTCGGACGATTCCCTATGAGGAATCGATTCATTTCCGACTACATCCTCGAAGCGACAGGCAAGCGAAGGACCCCTAAGCAGGTTGGAAGCCGACTCCAACAGCTTCGAGACACCTGCAGAGACGAGAAAAGTGAGTAACCATTCAGGCGCTTATCCATTCAACACTAACCATCCGCTCTAGTTCTGCAATTGATCTCTCGTCGCGGCTCGGTCGACAGCACTGCCAGCGACTGTGTGTCGGATTACAGCTCCCAGGCTTCACCTTGCCCATCCCCTGAACTCGTCGGCTCACATATCCGCCACATGTCTGTCCACTCCGAATCGAACTCCCACCCCAATCCTATTCGATGTATCCCGCCGCAGCTCAGACCCAGGTATGCAAACACTTCACTTCTTTCCACCTCGCGATGCAGGCTCGCTGACTTTGAACTTGACATTTAGCACTGCATGCCGGTTACCCACCAGCCACTTGCCGCTTCAGGGCGGGATAACTATTCCCAATGGCAGGCCATGCCCGGCACAACTGCCAACTACGACTTCTCCCACTCCCATTATCAAACCTCGAGTTATCGTGGTGATACTTTCGAGCTCGCCCCATCATACCCTCAGCAGACCGCCCCCAACTCGATGCCCGATCCCGCCTACCACCAGCCACGGGCCGTCCAGGCGATCCCCAAATACTTCACCGAGTCTTACGACACCCCTTATCACGTCCAACCCAACGCTATGCAAACCAACTCCTGGATTCCTCCCACCTCGAACTACAACCAGGGCTACACACAGAGCTATCATTAATTGCTGTCTCATCTCGGTTTCTTTTTTGCTGTCATTCGTCATCTTGCTTTCGCCGTTGGTTTTATGCGGGCCATAAGTATTCGTTTTCGCTCTTCATTTGTTATTTCTGGCAATAATCAACCAATATCCGGCATTAGTGTAATCTAGGGAGAGCTCATATGGTATAAACAATATCAATTAATATGTATTACATTGACACAATCGAAATTCTTTTATTGGACGTATCTATTCTTGTGGGACAACGGTGGTCTCCTCTTGGGCTGTGGCTTCTAGTTTTGCTGTGCCTTTATGTTGCGCTTTTGGGACTCGACTGGACTCCTCTGTGCTGGATTTGTTCTTATTGGCGATTTCCATCACGTTGAACTTTTGGAGCTTATAGTAGTCTTTCACGATTGCGACTCCACAAATACTCTAAAGCGGCACGTTCAGCGATTGAAACAGTGAATAAGACCGCCACCAAGTACCTTGAAAATTTCAACAAGAATGAATATTTCGGGATCGTTCAAGTCTACTGTGTGTTCCACTGGGACGCACGCAGCAACGTGTTGTATCAAAGTTTGCCGTGTGATTGTCGTATGATTGCGGACGCGCAACTCGATCTTGTACTACATATCATATCACGTTCAATCAGTTAAAAGTAGATGAAGAGCGGTGTAACCAACCTTGAATTTCTGATCAGGGTGCTGATCGAAAAACCTTTGGAAAACACTACGACACAGGGACTGGATCTCGGGAAGATTAGCTACACACGTATCGGACACGGGAACTAGACGGTGGATATATCTGATTAAAATTCGATAAGGTAAATATGTATATCAGGCAGAGCAACCAGGAGCAAGCTTACCGTGTACGCGTCACTCCTGTTTCTCGTATTCGTTCAACGTGTTTCACGACAAGTTCCACGGGATCCACGGGAGCTTTACATGAAATGAAAACGACTGCAATACCGAGAGAGAGTGAGGTAAGCAACAAGGTCGACGTCATGAAAACGAGGACTGCAACACGAACCACATGGCGTATTGGTCTGACAATTCGCTGAGGGCTATGTTCATCTTTTGAAAGCGTGTCTTTGAAGTGCAGAATTTACCAAATCGCTGTTGCGGATCTGCATTCCGTGGCTTTTTCATCGCTGACACCTCCTTTGCGATTTGATCCTCTAAGCTGAGGTTCGTGTCCTCTTCGCCATTATCGGAGTCTTGTGCCGCTGGGTCGGAAGGATGGGGCCAAATTTCGGAGGCTATCTAAAAGCCTAGCCTATCAGCAAATGCCTTTCATAGATCCAGGCAGAACAACGTTGACGCAACTGATTCGAACACTTCATAAACTTCCCCAACGGTCTGCTTCTCTTTCCCCTTGACACCTATTGATATGAAGGTTTAAATGAAGACATGGGATTAAACATTGCCATTATACGTACAGCTTACCCATACACCTGGCCCTTCGACATGACGCTTTCCCCAGATCGGTGTCCCGTCCTTCATTATTCGCACATGAGCTCATAGCCGAGAGCATTGCAAGAAAGTCTCACTGATCGGTATTTCTTCTTTCTTTTCTGGTCATCTCCTTCCGACTTGCGCTTATTTGAAGACATGTTAGATGAAGCTTAGTTGGAGCTACTAGCTGCTACAACGTTGCTGTGTTGTTGGTCCGTCAAGGGTTCGGGAACCGGAGGTGGTTGTGGTGAGAGGAGCCTTTCAACTTCAGGCGACACTCCGCTGATGATCATCATATCACGTGGAGATTACAAGCGAGAATCTTTTTTGATTCGAGCTCTCTAGACTCTCGTGTGAAGCTAAGCTTAGAACTGCAACTCTTCTCCCTTTTGATACCTTTGACTTGGTATTATAATATTATTTTTGTCTATGTAACGTTTCTGGTGGTCAAAGAAATGAACTTGACCCACCTGTTCGGCCGAACCGAAAGGTCGAGGGGTTTATGCCTTGACGTTGCTCCGGTTGACCGCCGCTGACAGAGAGCTTTGTTCTCTCAAAATGCGGGGTGGTAAGGACGCGAGCTGTCATCTTATGGTCTTCAAATAGTACAAAAGCTTTCAAGTATTTACGGAAGATGTTAGTCCTTTGAAGATCAAAGGCTTTCTTAATGTATCAGAAATGCCTGGAAACGAATTATGCTCGGTTCATAGCATCCTTTTTTAATCCTGAATACATTCATTTAAAACTAAGATATAGACAGCATTGACAAAAAATGTACACGGCCTTTTAAAGTGTCGTAAAATTTACTGATTTCTGTCCAGCGTGTTGCTTTAATCAACCTGAAAGAGCACAGGATCATTTCGATGCATTGAGACCCAGTCTTGTGTCTGCAATCTTAGGATTGACTGTGACAGCGATAATAGAAATACGGAGGACCAGAGAAGAGGAGTGCTAAGGCTAGTAGATCTCTAAATGCTATCACGTCACACCGATACCGTCCCGAAAATTGGCTCGATCCCCTGATTGGGGTCACCAAGAAGGACGGGACGAGAACATGGAGGTCAGATGTTCAGTGAAAAAACTCCGCAACGAGTTCATCAAGTCACTGGCCATTATGTCGAGAAAATCTTGCATGCACTTTAGGCTTCTATCGGAGGTTGGGGGATTGTGCGATAGACTGAGCCGCCTTGAAAGCGAGGTCCGAACGACTTTCATCGCCGCGTTGGCGTAGCGGTAGCGCGTCTCACTTGTAATGAGAAGGTCACTCGTTCAATCCGGGTACGTGGCATTTATTTTTTCCCGACATCCGATTTTCGGTGGAAGATTCATGATGGTGTTTTCTCGGTCCTGGAATTACCCGCCGCACAGCATCGCAGATCATTTTTTAATTATAATATTTTACAAACTATTTCTGAGATGTAGAAATATATCTATCACAATATTTTTGTCAGTGCCTACTTCCCTCGATAAAGGACTCTTTCAGAAGTAGGAACCAATTTGAATTCCTCCAACGACTTTTGATCACGAAGGATCATCGGCATTTCCCACGGATGAGCCAAACCTCAATTGGATTTTATTTCTAAATATGGTCACAGCCCGAACCACAACGCCATCAGCAACATCCACAACGACTCTTGTTCAATATGGCCGAGGCAGACATCATCGACTCTATGCTGGACCTTATGCGTAGGCTACCTCCTCCGAGGACGGAGGAAAACGTAGCTGCACTCGTGTCCATCTGTCCAGATGAAGCTGATGACCTACTACAAAGTGTTGATCAACCCCTGCAAGTCATGGTAGATCAAGCGACGGGAAGAGAGTACTTGGCTTGCGACTATAATCGTGATGGAGAAAGCTACAGGTGTGCTTTCCTCCTTTCATGAATGCTCTATGACTATCTACACCTGATAACGACACTGATTGCACCGTCAACCGTCATGTAGATCTCCTTGGTCGAATGAATATGATCCTCCTCTAGATGATGGCGCTGTCCCTTCCAGCAAGATGCGCAAACTCGAAATCCAGGCTAACGAGGCGTTTGATACGTATCGTGAACTATACTATGAAGGTGGTGTGTCATCGGTGTATCTGTGGGACCCTGAGGACGCAAGTGGGGGAACTTTTGCTGGTGTTGTTGTCTTGAAGAAATGTACGTGAACCACACCCTCTATTAAACTTTCAGTCAATTTCTAACTTTCATGATAGCCCTTTCTCAGACTTCCGCTTATGAACCATCAGGTTCATGGGACTCGATTCACGTTTTTGAGACTGTAGAACGTGGCAGACAGGCCCACTACAAACTGACATCTACGGTTATGTTACACCTTATCACGAGAAAAGGTTCAGATAGTGAGGTTAAGACACCTACTAACTCTGTTAAGAAGGATGGTAATGTCAAGCGAGACGGGGAAGTCAATCTGAGTGGTAGCATGACACGCCAGGCAAGCTCCCATTCCTATCACACATGTCTGTGGCACTGACTGTTGCATGTTTTTGACCATCCACTACCTTATTATACGCCGCCTTTTCTCCTGAAGACCGAACAAGATTTCCCTCTTCACGATGCTGGCTCTCATATCTCCAACATTGGAAGAATGATTGAGGAGATGGAGATCAAGATGAGGAATCTACTGCAAGAGGTAGTGTCTCTGTTCCGGTAACTTTGTCGTAACAATAAGATGCTCATAACAAGGAATCCAGGTTTACTTTGGCAAAACACGAGACATTGTGTATGATCTACGGAGCGTGGATGACCTGGAGAAAGCGCGACGCCAGAAGGAGCTTCAGAAGGAGTTGGTTGGGTTCATTAAACGGTGACCTAGATGATGGCCTCGGTGTGTTATCCGGGAGATATACAATGTACTGTTAGGAATCGATGCTGTAATTCTGAATGCATTTGCTCTGTAAGGGATAACATCGATTTGCCGTAGGAGTGGTAACCAGACTATACCCAGGTTATAACTCTAAATCCTGGCTTATCGATGACGACAGCTGACCAGGCTGCCGCAACATGTGCAGGCACCCAAGGGGGATTATGGCTACGGTGGTAATTGTTGTATTGCTGTAATTGTTCACAGAACCGAAGTAACAAAACTATATGTGGTTGGAAACGTGCTAGTTTCCGGATGAAGTCGCCGTTGCTTCTCGGGCCTTCTTCCGCACTCTGAACAAGACAAGGAAGGGCGCGCCTACATGTCCGCTTTGGATATCTGGAAAGACGTCTATCACCTTCTGCCGGCGAGGACTGCATCCGCAATTGGATTCGAATGGATAGTGACCTGCAAAGAAGGCTGAGGATCTTCATAAAAGTCGCAATTCGATCCGACTCACCCCGGTGAGCTTTATCTCGTTCAAGGGTCGATTTTTATTGTTGACGGGTACTCTTTCGATGGCATCCAGGGCAGAGTCAGCACCATCTATGACCTTTCCAAAGATAGTGTGCTTTCCGTCGAGATGAGGCTGTTTAGCGTAAGTAACAAAGAATTGGGACTTGTTTGAATCAGTTGCGTTGCCAGCGTTGGCCATTGCCACAACACCTCGAGCATTAAACTGCCGAATAAAGTGAAAAGCGGATCAGTAACTGCGGCAGAACAATAGGTGTTAGAACTTACTCACTTTGAGTGTTGACCTAATTTCATCCGCAAAGGGTTCACCCCAAATACTCTGACCACCTTTTCCAGTGCCAGATGGGTCGCCTGTTTGGACCATGAATCCACGGATGCTGCGATGAAACAAGCAACCATCGTAATATCCTGAAGCACATAAGGCCAGAAAATTCTGTTGGGATCAAGAGAGCGAATTGACTTTATTAATGAAATGATTTGACAGATGCAAATTCAACGCACTTCAGCTGCCTTTGGCACTGCTTCACAAAAGACTTCTATCTATATAATAAATGTATTAGCTTGATAAACCAACATATAATGAAATGTCAAACCTTTAGATCTCCATGAGTTGTATGAAGTGTTACAGACTATAAACTAGTCAGTCATTGTTGAAATGGTGATAGTGGAAGTGAGGACAGTACCATTTTGGAAATGATCTGAATGCGTGACAGTGTTGGTCATCTAATGATGTGACAGAGAAGCGCGTCACGACGGTGATTGGGAGAGTGCAAAGTTAGTAAATATAGCAGAGATGATGGTCACTGCGTCTTCCCCGTTCTTCTTTCTCTCTTTCTTTACAACTGCGATCATCCCCTTTTTGACACTATGCGTACTCCCTCCCTTTACAGTCAGGATGACCCTATAACTATCGCAATGAAGCCACCGTCGACGGAGACGGATGAGGAGCGTGCTGTCCGTCAAGCAGCAGAGTCAGAGGCCAAGAAGATATCAGAACAGATAGACGAGGAATTGCGTGAAGAACGTGAGCGGTTGAAGAAGAGGAAAGGGGATGTCAAGGTACGTTGTTTCAAATTCATTTATCTCATTGTAATGCGCATATATTCACCCTTATCCTTCACTTTTATCAGCTTTTGCTGCTGGGTCAGGCAGAGAGCGGGAAATCAACGCTCCAAAAGCAATTTCAGCTCATGTATAAACCTAATTCTCTCGACCAGGAAAGGTCGTCCTGGAAAACCGTCATCTACTTCAACGTTGTTCATACTCTCAAGCATATCCTCACCACTCTAGAGGCTTGGGATGACGTTTTGGATGATGATGATACACTAGACGACACCACTTCCATATCGACCAAGAAACTCGTCCGGGGTGGTATCTCTGATCAACCATCACCATCCGCGTCATTGATATCCGATGCAGCGATGCAAAGTTCACCCGCCTCGTTGGCGCGCTCGGAAGCGAGCGGTTCTGGTAATCACTCCGTGTCCTCTAAAGAGTCCGGTGCCCAGCAAATAGCCAGTCTGCGTCGAAAGCTTTCACCCATTGTCGCAGCGGAGGAGCAGCTTGCAGACAGACTTAGTGGTGGTATCAGCGTGTCAGGTTCAGGAAAGGGTGGTGTTTACGTGCGCAGTGGATGGCAAGCGAGGACGATTGAAAATGCCCTCGGCAAAATCAAGACCAAGCGACCATCAACGGCCACCGACAAGAAGCCACGCGACAGCGCTTCACAAGATATTCCTCCTGACCCTCTAGTGGAGGAGGTTGGTCGCATGTTAGAGGTCAGCGAGACCGACATTCGTGCACTATGGGATCACCCCACCGTTCGGGGCATGATTGCTAAACGCCGCTTGAAGCTCGACGAGTGGTCCGAATTGTAAGAATTTTTTCCATAACTGTTTGCAACATCTAATGTTAATATTTCCCATGTTTTCAGCTTCTTGAAGCATATTTCCCGTGTTTCTTCACCCGAGTACATCCCCACGACAGGTATGTCATGATTTCATCAAATATATGCGCATATATTTACGTGTTTTATTATTAGACGACATCCTGCACGCTCGTATTCAGACTATGGGAGTCGCTGAACACATCTTCGACGTTAACATCCACGGAAAATCAGTAACCTGGCACCTGTACGACGTGGGCGGTGCTCGTGGACAGCGACACTCGTGGGTTCCTTATTTCGACGACGCAAACGCGATCATTTTCGTTGCGCCTGTAAGCGCATTTGATCAAGTGAGTTGTTCCTCGTAGTCTACAAATATAACGCGGGCCTAACTCGGCTCCAGTATCTTGAGGAAGATCCCCGAACGAACCGAATCGATGATTCACTCCAACTCTTCACTCAAATTTGCTCGAATGCACTGCTCAAGAACGTCCATCTCGTTCTCTTCTTGAGTAGGTCACCCGTTACCCGACAGGTTTAACAGCTCATTTAATTTGATCCCTGCAGACAAAACCGATTTGCTCAAATCGAAGCTGGACCAAGGACTCAAAGTCCGCAAATAGTGAGTACTGATGTTCCATTCCTGGCACCACATTGAATTAAGCTTCCCGCCATAGTATCACCTCATTCGGTGAAAGGTCCAATGACTACGAAACCGTAGTCCAGTACTTCAGAGCACACTTCCTGCAGGTACACCGACGCAATAACGAAAATCGCCGTGTGCTATACACTCACTTTACAAGTGTGGTGGTATGTATTAGTTAGTCTTTGTCACTGCACCTTGTGTAATAATGTCGTCTCGCAGGATACCAAAGCAACGCAACGCATTATTGGAAATGGTACGATCAAGCTATCCAGTTATGTCTTCCAGTGTGATTGACGACACATTGACAGTTCGCGATTCCATATTCAGAGGCTATCTCCAATCAGCTGCGCTCGTATAATTCATTGTCAGCCTGCCTACTGACAATTCTTGACGACTTGGATGACTCGATGCCA